GGAAAATATTGTCCATGAAATTGATATTTCATTATTTGACCCTAAGCCAGTTGCATTCGTTTCCTGTGAAAGCCGATCAATATCATAATATGATGTTAATATTTGTTTGATTACTTCTTTAGCAGGAAAGTATAATAGTAATATTTGTATTGCAGTAGATTTATCGGGTTTTTGACCACTATAGCCTTTTTTTAATAATTAATTACCAAATTGACCCTATTTATAAACTATTTCAAAAATTTAACCTCTCCAGAAAACATAACACCAATCTGCCCCTGTTTGACCGTTGACCATGAAGCCTACCCGGGTACACCCCTACCTACCCGGGTAAATTTTAAAATTTTTTACCTACCCGGGTACACCCCTCCCTACCCGGGTATATTTCTTGAATCTGGAAAATGTTTGAATTATTTACCCGGGTAGGGAGGGGTGTACCCGGGTAAATAATCATAAACTGGTTGTGTGCGCCCATCCTCTTTGTGTGAACAGCAAATGAAAATCTCTAAATTGAAGGACTAACGCATGGAGAACAAAATCTGAAAACATGTTATTGATGAAAGATATTCCACTGAATCATATGCCTGAGATTAGTGAAGCAAATAATCAAGGTTCTGCTCCAACAAAGGATGCTATTACATGTCACCAGTCAGACAATTCAAAAAAATGTTCAGAATTAGAGGTGAAGGAATTGGGCGTTGACAAGCTTGAGTTGTGGAAAACTGTAAAAGAGACAACTGAAGATGGCAAGAGGAAGATGTTGGAGAGGGTTGTCTCAGATGCTCAGAAATTGGCCATTCTTAAAATGACTCTGCAAGGTTTGAAAAAGAAACCAGAAACAAAGAAGAAAAGCAATAAGAGAAAAGCATGAGTTATGATTATTTACCCGGGTACACCCCTCTCTACCCGGGTAAATAATTCAAACATTTTCCAGATTCAAGAAATATACCCGGGTAGGGAGGGGTGTACCCGGGTAGGTAAATTTTTTTAAAATTTACCCGGGTAGCACCGTTATGCTGAAGCCAATTTTCTTTCTTATATGCTTCATTTCTTTGTATCAAATATTTTGTCCTGATGATGTTTGATTGGATATTGCCTCAAAGTTCATTGTATTATGTTAGTGCTGGTTTAATTTGAAAAATGTAAGATAGAGATGCTGTCCTCTTCAGGTTTTAGGGCCCAATGGGAGATTATATTTTAGTCATATGGATTTTGTATAATTCGAAATTTAGTGCACTGTTTTGGTGTTCTTATAAATAAATTATAATGTATTGATGTTGTCCTGTTATGTTCTTAGTACCAATTTATAGATTCTATGTATAAGAGCTGTACAATTCTTGAAAGAAAAAAAAAATTACTGCCTTTCGAAAAATAAATAAGTCCTATTTGTTTTTTAGGCTTCTTTCCACACACAAAAAAGGGCCTCCCTTAGCTGCACTTATTGTGAAAATTTGAATTTGACAGATCAAATCAATTTTGGACAACTATAAAATAATAATAAAAATATGCACAATGTCACTTCTTTAATTTGAATTTTAATAAGTCAAGTGTTTTACACATGTAACTTCCTCTGTTTCATTGAGAAAACTTTTGCACACCACATATTCAAGTTTTTAATCGTGTAAAGCTTTTTATCAAATTATTAATGCATTTTTTTAGTCGTTATTTATTGAAGTGGAAATGAATGATGTCGCTCAAATATGTTATAACCTGGATATTATAAAAAAATAAAAATAAATATAAGTATGTGGGGGTGTGTATAACAAGAAACATGTAGGGAGTGAGGGGAATTCTGACCTGTAGGGGGGGTGTATAATTGGAAACATGTAGGGTGTGTATAACTGGATAGGTGCATGTGACAGTTCGATCTTGATCAACCCATCCCGGATAAATCTAGAAAGTTGAGAGGGATACATGATCATACTCTACGGGGAAAGGTTGAAGAGAACTGGAGACGTAAGCTGAGGGCTCACATTGATCGATGGAATACCAGGGTTCAGCATATTGTATTGCCACCTCTATTATATGGTTTGATGTCACCTAATCATGCGTACATGGAGTGGTACAGAGAGAGGGGAAAGCGCTACATATCTCGGAGGGCAGCAAAGATAGGCCGCATGGTGAGTTTATGACAAATTCTATCATTTGTACATATTTTACATTTGTTTCACATTTCTAACATGTTTTCGTAATATACAGATTGGCGGTCTTGAAATGCTTTATTATGCAACAACGGCAGAGGAGTTTCCTCGATTTGGCCTAGAGTATATCCACGAGGAGATTGGCCGGATTATTGGAATATTTCGTGAGAGTTCATGATTTGATGAGCCTGGACCTGAGGCACCCCCCGTGCAGACACAGCCTGATCCTCAGTTGATCGTGGATGTTCCTTGTAATAGACGGGAGGGACGTGGATTAGGACGTAGACGTGAGAGAGTTGCTGCTGAGCCTGTCCCGATTATGGCACCAAGACCAGTGGTCGAGACTCAGGGATGGTTCAGACCTCCAGTCATTGGTCCTACTTACGGGTCACGGCCGATTTATCATCACGAATCGCAATATGCGGCAGGTCCTAGTCAGGCGGCGTCTGAGCACCCTTACATGAGCGGACAGGAGCCAGTTTTCCAGGCTAGTCCGATGGCTATGGCAGGAGCGGATCTGGCATCCTCGCAGCCTGATTTTTAGCCTTATTCACAGGGACTTGATGCAGATTACCCCTTTTGGTTTGCAGAGGACACGATTGAGTTGTATCGCTCTGTAGGCCTTATTACAGAGAGCCATGACAGTGGGGAGACTCTAGCCAAGGATTCTCACAGTCAGGGACACACCCCTTTTGAGGTGCCAGGCAGTAGTGCATGACCATCAGATGATTTCATCCGTGCGGCGATGGATGACTTCCACACTCCACCACCACAGGCACAGGCACAGGTGCATCAGGGAGACCCAGTCTGGGACAGACGTATACTGCCAGGTAGGGATGCACGACATAGGCCATGGCCACCGTGGTCGTAGTTTCATTGCCATTTGGAGTATTCACTATGTTGTGGACTGTTTCATATTGTTATTATTTTGTTATTTTGTATTAGTTATAACTGTAGCATGTTGTTATTTTGTGGACGCTACATTATTATATTGGGTTTTATAAGAGTTATGTTGTAGGAAAAGTGATTGTGTAATGTTATAGAATTCGTTTTGTGTGCCTTAACTTTTTTAATTTTTTTTGTTTTAAAAAGTGCGAGTCCCACAAAATGTTGTGTGTGTAGGAAATTTGATGGTGTCATGTTAAAGGACAAACTACAATCCCTATTATATTATTTGGACTATTCACTATGCTTTATTATTTATGTTTTGTTTGTCGTCCTTTGCGCATTTATGTTACGGTAACTAATTGCATCAGTTAATTAATAATCCAAGAATAAAAACATACATAAACAGAAAGTAAAAAGTCCAACATAACAGACATTACAATTCAAGAAATAACATAACCAACAGCAAAATAATGACATAATATGTATCTCAGTCGTTTCTCCCACGACTTGGACATCCCCGACGATTATGGCCGCGTTCCTTGCAAAGTCCACACCTGATACGGCTCTGGCTTGTCTCAACTTCATCCATCTCGCTGCGGATGCGAGTTGACTTTGGACGACCTTTTGCACGCAACATAATAGAATCAGGAATAATCTTTGGACCACTAATTTCAGGTATTGCTTCCTCGTTTCCGATTGGCTCCCACGGAAAAGAATAAGCCTCGACCAAGTTAGTTATCAAGAAGACGTCGTCAATGTAAGTCAACGCACTCTGCCTAACACTTAACGCAGCAGCAACGGCGTGACTACACGGATACTTAAAGGCCTTAAACTTTCCACACTGACAGTATCTCTGTGGGAGAATGACAGAATATGAACGCTCCCAACTTGCGTCAACCTCGAAGACAGTATGTTCAACATTGTATGCATGAACGTGGTTGCCTGTTGCATCTACCTGGTTCTTCTTGACCAATTCAACAACATTTTTGGAGTGACGATAAGCTGATTGAAGTTGTGCAACCGCATTTGTTCCTCTCTCAACAAAATATGCAACCAATCTGCTATATGTATGCTTAACCAATGCTGTTATAGGCATATTTCTGGCCCCCTTCAAAACTCTATTGACAGATTCAGCCAAATTTGTTGTCATATGACCGTACCTCCGTCCTTCAATATCGTAGGCTCGCGACCACTTTTCCTTAGGAATCGCATTAATCCACTCAGCAATTTGAGAACTACTTTCACGAAAACTCGCAAGATTCCTTTCAAAATCAACCATGGCTGAAGTAACCTGCATAAATTGGACATGAACGAATTAAACATAAATTGACAGTCATAATGGAAAGAAATAATTACGCATCGTGTCAATGAGTATACCTAAATTCTTTAACATCCGCTTCAAATCTTCATTCTGAAACTTTTGATTGAAGTTGCTTGCAATATGACGAATACAGAAGACGTGATATGCATTTGGCGGCTGCAAATTAGGGTTATTTTCCACAACAGATATTATGCTTCGATGCCGATCGAATATCAAACATATGTTTGACATGGTAGTAACATGAGCACGAATATTAACGAGAAAATAATCCCATGCTTCCAAAGTTTCGCCTTCTACGATGGCAAAAGCGATCGGTAAACATTCATTATTACCATCTTGGGCTATGGCCACCAACAATTTCCCTTTGTACTTCCCATATAAATGTGTTCCATCAATTTGAATGACGGGTTTGGCAAATTTGAACGCCTCACAACACTGTCTAAACGTCCAAAAAATGCGATGAAAACCTTTTTTTCCAGAAACTAAGCTCTGCTTGGCATAAAGATCATTTGTTTGTATATGATAAAATGAACCTGGAGAAAAGCGAAGCATGTATTCACACCACCTTGGCAAAAAAGCATACGGTTCTTTCCATTCACCATACATAATTGTCATCGCTTTCTGCTTCGCATACCACACCTTTCTGTAGGAAACTTTGAAGCCATATTTAGCAGTTATCCTTTCTTGGACCAAAGAGATTGACACAGATGGTTCTGAATTTATCATCCCTGCATTGAAGAGGATATCAATGCCTCGATAACATCGAACGAATTTAATTACACGACAGTACGTAAACATTGACATGTCATTACGGTAAATAAATACGTACCTATGACGAGATCTGCAATGACGTCCGCATCTAGCTGTCTATGACCCTGGGAAATATGCTCATTCACACATTCGTGTTTTCCACCCCATCTCGTAATCTTCCAATTTTCACGAAACACCGGTTTGATCGCTTTTACGCGCCACGGACAACCTTGATCATACGCACAACATTTCATGGACAACTTTGCAGGCGTGCTCTCAATTACAATGGCTTCTTGATGCTCCCTAATGAGGTTGTGCTTAAGTGCCATTTGGACATTTTTTTTGTCGCAGATTCTTGATTGACAAATAACATGTCACCTAGTTGCCACGGACCTTGTATTGAAGTCGATCCAGAGACCGAACCATCAGTACATGATTCTTGTTCGCTCCGATAGCTCCAATCAATGTAGGAATAATGCGGAATTCCTTCCCAAAAAGGAATAACATTTGTGTCACCTGCAATTGCGAATTATAATTTTTTAATACAAACTTACTAATTCAGGTATTAAATCAGTTATCTATTCAGCTATATACAAATGGGATCAATTACCTTCATGGTGAATACCGAACGGGGCAGACGCAACGTCATTTAAATGCGGCATTTGCGCGACGACTGGTTGATGGAATATTGGGATTTGAGACGCACCCATCTCACGGGATTCATCTCCTTCTGAAGCACTAGCATCCTCCGCCAGAAGACGTTTTTCCATTGCCATATTTTCATCTTCGTCGTGCATTTCCCAAGTCGGATCATTTTCATCTCCCTCAGAAAAGTTACCAACTGGAGACGCATGAGCGGCAGGAGAAGCTGGAAGACGGGGAGAATTTAAATAAACTGACCTCACCGGTAAGGGAGCATTCTTGGTTGCGGCGATGTCGACATACAACTCTAGAAAATCTGTCCTTGACTGGTTGCAAAATTCTTCCATTGTCATCTCCAACTTTTCATCGTCAAGGACTTTCAAACTAATGTATTTATCACCTTGCCACACCCTTGTCGTGATCTCAGTGATACATTGGTTGTCTGGAAGACTTAACTTCTGCCGATTTCTCTGATGCAGTTCGCCAATGGTTGTGTTGCGTTGGATACGTGTCGGCCTTTTTTCACCTTCGAAGATGACACCTCGTCGACCTTATACCTTCCTACTATTGTAATATAACACAACACGAACAGAATCAGGATTTGAGCTCATTTTTAAATAGAATAAGAAATAAAATTCAAATACTAAATTAAAGATAAAGGAATGTTGGTGGAGAAGAGTGAGGGAAGAGGTGTGAATTGAATGGAGGGGGTGGGGGAATATATAGAGCACACATGTGACGCCCAAAAGTGGCGTCACATTGTGCAGCAGATGTATAATTTTTTACAAAACAACATTAAATGCGTAATTGTTTAATTTAAATGCATTATTTTAATTTTTTTGCCCACATATTCAAGTTTTTAATCGTGTAAAGCTTTTTATCAAATTAATTAATGTATTTTTTAGTCGTTATTTATTGAAGTGGAAATGAATGATGTCGCGCAAATTTGTTATAACGGGATATTATAAAGTATATATATATATATATATATATATATGGAAACATGTACGGGAGTGAGGGGAATTCTGGAAATATTTATGAGTACATTGATTACAAATATATGTGTTATGAAATATAGATGTATACAAAATTTACGTTCTGTGAATCCACAATAGTTGAAGAGTCATTTCATGAATGTTCCAAGCGATGTGGAGGACAGGTCTGAGGAAATGAATTATTATGTCAGGGCTTATATACTTTATTTGATTTCTTGTATTTTTTCCACAAGTAATGGTAATGCTGATCTCATTTACCTATCTCTTGAAAATATTGATGAGATAGGTAATTATGCATGAGGCGCTACCTTTTTGGCTTATTTTTATGCTGACATTGATAAATTCAAAAAAAATAGAGCTGGGATAAATTTTCCTTCCATTGTGTTAGAAGTAAATAATCTAATTTATTTTGTATACTTTTTCATTTGTAAAGGGTTTTGAATATTTATTATCTACTGCTGACTTTTTTTTATGACTTTTTTTTAATAAAATTGCAGATTTTTGTCCTTGAACATATTCTTAATCTTAGAGATATGTTAAATTTTTCAGTACCAGAGGCAAGATTCCCCCATATAAATAACTGGTTTCCAACACTTGAAAAATATAGCCACAACTCCAGAGCCAAGGTTCAAAAATCAAGTGTTCTTGAGGTTGTGAATAACCTCCAAATGGACCGCGTAAGTTTCTAAAAATTCTAATTTACCAAATGAAAATATTATTCATTTCGTTGAACTGTCTTTTTTTTGTTGTTGTTACAGATTGAATGGCAACCCTTTGAAAGGTTGGATGACATACTTTCTGAATCAATTTCGAATCAGCTTCACTATGGATTTAGCAGGACAATTGTTATTTGTTTCCCAAAAAATAGCTTACAACTGTCATGATATGAGCCCAATGCAATATGGTATTAAAGAAGAAAATCCTCCTTGTTTGAGTTGGGTCGCTCCGCCACATATTGAAAATAAACAAAGAGATGGAAAAGGCACAACTGATTGGGCGAAGAAGTTCCAAGAAAAGGTGAATGAGTGGACCCAGGGGAGAATGTACATCCTTCATTATCCTCAAGGTAAGTGTTTTTCAATTTTTCTTCTATTAATTTAATTCTTTGAACTTTGTGATTTTTATTGGGTACATTTTTGTGATATTTTTATTTCTCCTTGCTCAGGCTGCCTTGAAAATTACTGTAACGATTCTCCTAGAAACGAAGATGTCAATTCAAGTGTCATGGTTGTGTATATCAATTCTTTGAACTTTGTGATTTTGTGTGTGTACAATTTAGTGATATTTTTATTTCATTACTATGTTTGTTTTCTCCTTACTCAGGCTGCCTCGTAAACCCTTTTTATTGCAGATGACATGGTTTCGAAAAATGATGGGGTCCATGGACATCTGTGTGATGACTTACCTTCCCCACCAGAATTTGTTAACCAACCAGGTATCATGGTTGTGTATATTAATTCTTTGAACTGTGATTATTATTATTTTTTTGTACAATTTTTTGATTTTTTATTTCATTACTATGTTTTTGTTTCTCCTTGCTGAGGTGGCATTATAAACCTCGTTATTGCAGGGCGACCACCTAATTTGAAGGTTTATATTCGTAGAAGAAAATCCAAGAGGATCAAGTATCATAGCCGTATTCTTAGCTCTGCCATTTATGAAAAACAGCACCTCGTGAAGAAGTCAAGGTAGAAGAGAAAATTAAATATGGAAGGGCAAAATTTAGGGGGGTCTATTCACCCGATCGAGCTTAGCGTCGAGTTGTTATCCGAGGCTTCGAGTCTCTGTACGTGACGCTTGAAAAAAAACTAAGACCGTTTTGTTGTTATAGGTCTAAACCTTGATTAATGATGTGCGTCTAGCATATGATGCTTTCTAACTTAAAACAAGCAAGGAATTAATCATAAATGTGTGAAAATAAGTCATAAATGCAAGAAATATTGATTATTGCTTCTCAATCATTCTCTCACTAAAGTTTTGTGTTTTAATAGCAGGAAACGCCACAAAAGGGAGCAAAAGAGAGAAGTCCAAATTTTCCAGTTGGCGCACGATGCTCCGGAAGCGGCGCCCGGTGCGCGGTCCTGGCGCACGATGCGCCGGACTTAGCGCACGGTGCGCCATTTTATGAGACTCGGCCCTGTATCCCAGCGCACGGTGCGCGGGAGGCAGTGCACGGTGCTCTAGCCTGGCGCACAGTGGGCGGGACCTGGCGCACGGTGCGCGGGACTGGCGCACGGTGCGCGGGACTGGCGCACGGTGCTCGGGACCTGGCGCACGGTGCACCGTTTGACAGCTTCAGTTCTGTTTTCTCATGCAAAGTGCGCCAGACTTGGCGCAAAGTGCGTGGGCGATTCTTTTCAATTTTAATCGGATGCGAATTACTCAAAAAAGAGGCCCAATTGGAGAGCAATTGAAAGTAGGTTTTCCCAAAACCTAATAAAAGGATCATAAACAGAGGAAGGAGGAACTTTTTGACAACTAGGAAGAGAAAAACAACAAAGAGAGGGAGAATTCTTGGGAGCTTCTTGGAGATTCAAGGATTTGATCGATCAAGACGGAAGATCTTCATCTTCCTTTTCTCTTTTAGGTTCTGAATGTTAATTTCTTTTACTTTTATTTTGTCAGACATGAATATGTCTGGCTAGTTCAATTATTGTGGTAAGGGTCACAACCCTTGATGTGAACCCCTTGTAGTTTGGTTGAAGTTTATGTTCATCTATTTAAATTGAATTTATCTTGCCTTGTTATTCATTCTATAACTCTTTTGGAACTGATCAATCTATTAGGATTGCGAGGGTTAGGGTTTTCAATAAGGATATTAGAATTCTAATTCCTGACAAGGGGTAAGATAATTGTTCATGTATGCACTAGGGATAGGCTACATGAACCGCAAACGTGAAAGATTCGCTCAACTTTAATCTTTATTTCTTTAATTCTAAAATAATCTTGCATCATTTACATTTTCTTGAATTGTTTTCATTATTTCACAAACCACAAGTGTTCTTAAACTATTTTGATTAATCCAACAAGAGAGGAATAATTATAATAACTTCGGTGCCTCGATCCTCGTGGAGACGATACTCGACTCATCATTTTTATTACTTGGTACGATCGGTGCACTTGCCGATTCTGCGCAACAATTAACTATGTCAAACATCTTCAGTCTTAGTTAGAACTTCAAAAATTTTATTAGCGAACGAGTGCAGAAAATAACAATTCCTAGGAAAAATGGATACGTGCCCGTATCCTAGATCCGGACGCGGATCCTTGATACGGGCACATATACTTGTTTCCCAGGAATTGTCACTTTCGTCACTACTATTAGGAAGGACTTGTGGCTCAGAGAAAGAAGTGGAGAAGAAGAAGAAGACAAAGAGAGACGGAGTGGTGTGTGTCAATGCCAAAGGTTGATCTGCT